ACTTAATCTTAATTTTGTTTCTTCATATCAAACAGAGTTAAACTATTGTCAGTGGGTTTACATAAATAGAAATTTATTTACCGAGTTAATACTCCCCGTCAGTATTATGTTCCTCATTACGAGCAACGTAAGAACTTGTCGAGCATTTATCATTTACACAAAACCTGCCGTAAAAGATGCTCAATTGGCCTGTCTACGACATTGCAAAATAAAAAAAATCCTGTATTATTATAAAAATACATGATTGTTTAACTTTGATTGTCACACAACAAACGATGATTCCTTTTTTTCTCATTTAATTTTTCAATTATGAATTTAGAAACCAATAAAGTTATAATCTTTCCTAAAGGTTACAGTTACCTCTTCAGTGTAGAATCCAGGTAAGGCCGTGGCAACGATGCATAAAATCAATCCAAAGGCTGACGATAGCAATTGCACATAAATCGGCATCCTTATTCTCTCTAAAAGTATTTAAAACATACATAAGACAATTTACTGAACAACGTATTATCAATAGAAAAAAATAATCGAATTTTATGAGAGGCGACAAAAAAGTTCGCGAACTAATTGAATAACTTACATAAAACAAATAAAATAAGGTTACAGTGTTTAATAATTTTTAAAGTATCCCTCTCTGATTTTAATGCACATCTACCATTGTTCTGCCTATGTGCAAATCACGTTATTTCGAAATTCCTAATACTAACAATAACTGTTTAATAAAGGTTGATAATCAAAACTTCAAAATTTCCTTATGCAAACACCCCATAAATGTACCTGATAGAAACTGGAAGAATAACACAAATTGTATTGGCGGAACTGTCATGGCTTTATATTAAAAATCAACATTCACATTTAACATGCAACTGGCATGTTCATACAAATCAACAGATTTTTCCGTCTGCTCAAAAACAAGATGGAAGTTGAAAAGACCTGGCGCATGCTCATGAGTACTCATGTATTATTAATCGTAGAATCATAATGATAAAACCGTATAATTCCGGAAAACGGGTTACACTTAATAGCTATTTATAATTTCACAATAGAAAGCAATATATACGTCATTCTCAATAACTTTATTTATCTTTTAGGGATAAATCACGTTATCCAGGCGGTCACGTGACATTCTCTGAAGCATTCTGTTCATGGACGCTAAAATATTTTTCCGAGTTTTATATGTCTTACAAAGCAAGTTAATGTATACCATTCTTATGGTATTAATATTATATGGGTTCAATGATCAAATAATTGAGATATGTTGTCTGGAATGGTTTTTGTTCATATTTTTAAATTTCTTTATTTCATAATATTCAATTATTTGAAATAATTTATGAGCTTTTACACTTATAATATCTGCAAATGATGTTTAAAGATACATATTACATTTACATTGTAATTAATATTGCAAAAAATAATACATTTTGACAAAAAAGGAAAATAAAAAAAAATAGTCCAAACTCCCTCTGCATTTCCTTACATTGAATTTTGGTCCTGTTTATTTTCTTCGAACAATAAAATATTAATTTTTTAAATTGATATTGAGTTAAAATTTTGTTATTTTATCCATTTAGAATAATTTTTGATTTAACATATTATACTTTTTAAATTTTCCTACCTGTTTTCTGAAACCTGAGTGAATGTCATCCTTAATTTTTATAACATGAACAGTTCATTTGTCAAAAATGACCAGATCTCGGAAATAGGATGGTTGGATAAGGATTTGCTTTCAAAGAAAGCACATGGTGACCATCACAACACGATTCCTCTGTCTTAGGAACGTCTTCCATTCAATATGGATATAGTTATGGAGACTTTCTTTTTATCATATTTAATTTGTTAAAGGTCTAAATTAAACGATATTTTAGGGATATAATAATGATATTATTGTATTATTAAGATATTCAATAATTTTTCTAGCTGTTACTTCGCAGTCTTTCATAACAAATTGCCTAACAAAGGACGCATTTCTTCCCCAGATTGCTTTTGCTTGGCTACAAAACAAACGTCACTTTAACCATCTCACTCCAACCAATTAAAAAATCAAGTCAAGTTATGATTGAACGTCTTGAAAGTATATTGTCTTAAGATACTTAAAAAGGAATTTCCAAGCTAAACGTTAAGCTTTACACCCGTTCATTGCTCAAGTAAGACTGCCACTTTGGGACGTGGAGACCGGTCCTTCGGATAGGACCGTATAAACCGAGGTCCCGTGTTGCAGTAGGAGCTGGCACAAAAAAGGATCCCTCCCTGCCCAATGGCCCTGAGTGCCGAGTATAGGAAAAAATTTGCAGCTCTCCACCGGCAAGTGGTGGCGTCTCCATATGAGTGAAAAATTCTCGAGAGGGACGTTAAACAATATACAATCAATCAATCAATCAAGTAGGAGTGTGACAACCATTTTTCGTCACAAAGTCACCTACATATTGTCGTCATTTTCGCATTGTGACGTCACAATATGAGAAAATCATTACTTTTCATTAATAGAATATGGGCATGACCATAGGTGTGCAAAATATCATTCTATCTGCATTGTGGTTTTGTTAATATAGATATAGTCCGCGAACTTTTTGATCACCCCTCGTATAATGAAAAATATTTTTGCTGTTTCTGATTTTTTTCTTCCTCTCTTTTCAACTTAGATTGATTTTACAATGAAAGTCAGAAATTCAGAGTTGAAATAATGAAATTCATAACAAAAAGTTGCTTTTCAAGACGTTTGTAAATTTTTCAAAAATACAGAAGATTATAAAAAGGGTAATAATTTCTTAGCTCATCCATTCCGGAAAAAATAATAATCGATAAATAAGTTTAATAAAAAAAATTGAGGTGGGGGTCCAGCCCAGTCTAAAAATTTCTAACCCAGAAATTAGGGGGCTTTCATGAACAAATTTTATAGCATATAAATATTAAAGGACTATAATTAAATATAGCATAAAGCAGGCACTGATATGCCTGTCATCAAAAAAGGGTGGGGTAAAAGAAAATAATGTTATTATACCCGCACTTTCTAAAGAAAGTTCGGGTATATTGTTGTTACTCATGTCCGTCCGTCCGTCCGTCCGTCCGTCTGTCACACTTTTCTTCCCTGAACTCCTCCTACATTTTACACAGTAGCTTAATCATCTTTTGGAAGATGGTTTGTGGGGTCATGTAGATGTGCAGTAAGGTTTTGGAATTTCGATTTTGCCCCGGGGGGTCAAATGGGGGTCGAAAAATGACGTTTTTTGTCCAAAAAGCCCCGTCTTCCCTGAACTCCTTCTACATTTTACTCAGTAGCCTAACCAGCTTTTGGGAGATGGTTGGTGGGGTCATGCAAATGTGCAGTAAGGTTTTGGAATTTTGATTTTGCCCCAGGGGGTCAAATGGGGGTCGAAAAATGACGTTTTTTAGGCAAAAAGCTCCATCTTCCCTGAACTCCTCTTACATTTTACTCAGTAGCCTAACCAGCTTTTGGGAGATGGTTGGTGGGGTCATGTAGATGTGCAGTAAGGTTTTGGAATTTCGATTTTGCCCCGGGGGGTCAAATGGGGGTCGAAAAATGACGTTTTTTGTCCAAAAAGCCCCGTCTTCCCTGAACTCCTTCTACATTTTACTCAGTAGCCTAACCAGCTTTTGGGAGATGGTTGGTGGGGTCATGTAGATGTGCAGTAAGCTTTTGGAATTTTGATTTTTCCCCAGGGGGTCAAATGGGGGTCGAAAAATGACGTTTTTTAAGCAAAAAGCTCTGTCTTCCCTGAACTCCTCTTACATTTTACTCAGTAGCCTAACCAGCTTTAGGGAGATGGTTGGTGGGGTCATGTAGATGTGCAGTAAGCTTTTGGAATTTCGATTTTGCCCCGGGGGGTCAAATAGGGGTCGAAAAATGACGTTTTTTTGTCCAAAAAGCCCCGTCTTCCCTGAACTTCTCTTACATTTTACTCAGTAGCCTAATCATCTTTTGGGAGATGGTTGGTGGGGTCATGTAGATGTGCAGTAAGGTTTTGGAATTTCGATTTTGCCCCGGGGTGTCAAATGGGGGTCGAAAAATGACGTTTTTTGTCCAAAAAGCCCAGTCTTCCCTGAACTCCTTCTACATTTTACTCAGTAGCCTAACCAGATTTTGGGAGATGGTTGGTGGGGTCATGCAAATGTGCAGTAAGCTTTTGGAATTTTGATTTTTCCCCAGGGGGTCAAAGGGGGGTCGAAAAATGACGTTTTTTAAGCAAAAAGCTCCGTCTTCCCTTAACTCCTCTTACATTTTACTCAGTAGCCTAATCATCTTTTGGGAGATGGTTGGTGGGGTGATGTCAATGTGCAGTAAGGTTTTGGAATTTCGATTTTGCCCCGGGGGGTCAAATGGGGGTCGAAAAATGACGTTTTTTGTCCAAAAAGTCCCGTCTTCCCTGAACTCCTTCTACATTTTACTCAGTAGCCTAACCAGCTTTTGGGAGATGGTTGGTGGGGTCATGCAGATGTGCAGTTAGGTTTTGGAGTTTTGATTTTGCCCTGGGGGGTCAAATAAGGGTCGAAAAATGACGTTTTTTATGGAAAAAGCCCAGTCTTCCCTAAACTCCTTTTTTGTTTTAAACAGTGGTCTTATCATCTTTTGGGAGAGTTCACTCTTTTGAAATTTTGTTAAAACATCAAGGTCAAGGGGTAAAAAATCATAGCATGTTGGGGGCCTCTTGTTATGGGTAATGTTCACTTGAAATGTGAAAGTCAAATCTCTTCTCAATGAAAAGGAAATACAACATTAATGAAAACTAAGTTAAACTTCAAGGTCAAGGTCACATAGTCAAAAAGTCATGATACATTTTGGAAGGTAATATGAATGCCCTTTCATTTATCTTTCAAAATGATCAATTCAAAGCAATTAATTTTTTTAAGGAAATTAGGTCAAACTTCAAGATCATGGGTAATGAAAATCATAGTGTATGTAGAATGGTATTGTCCCATTTAATACTAATACACATGTTTAATATAAAAGTCCTATCTCTTCTCATTCAAAATATACGACCATGATGACCAAGGTTAAATTTATTGTGACAGATGGGCAGATTGATAAACAAATGAGATTTAATGTACCCTACCTTTAGCAAAAATGGGGACAATAAATGTCTTTGCTGTTCTTGAGAAGAAGATTTATGTTGGAACAAGATGTGTTTGTGAAACACTACGCGCCCGGCGGCAACAAAGTTAAAAAAATCTTCTTTTAGCATATTGATCACAGTCAAGGTCACAAGGTCATTGACCATGGTGTCATTCGAAAGAACTTAATCAGTGGAGTATGCGTACTAAATATGAAGTCCCTATCTCCTATGGTTCAAAAGTTGTGGCAAAAAGTGTAAAGAGCTATTTTTAGCATATCCGTCACAGTCAAGGTCACAAGATCATTGACCTTGCCGTCATTTGAAAGGACTTTATCGGTGGAGTATGCATACCAAATATGAAGTCCCTATCTCCTATGGTTCAAAAGTTATGACAAACAGTGAAAAAAGCTATTTTTAGAATATAGGTCACAGTCAAGGTCACAAAGTCATTGACCATGGTGTCATTTGAAAGAACTTAATCGGTGGAGTATGCATACCAAATATGAAGTCCTTATCTCTGATGGTTCAAAAGTTATGGCAAAAAGTGTAAAAAGCTATTTTTAGCATAAAGGTCACAGTCAAGGTCACAAGATCATTGACCTTGATGTCATTTGAAAGGACTCTATTAGTGGAGTATACATATTAAATATATATGAAGTCCCTATCTCCTATGGTTCAAAAGTTATGACAAACAGTGGAAAAAGCTATTTTTAGCATATAGGTCACAGTCAAGGTCACAAGGTCATTGACTTTGAAGTCATTTGAAAAGACTTTATTAGTGGAGTATGCTTACCAGATATGAAGTCTCTATCCCTTATTGTTCAAAAGTTATTGCCAAGGTTAAAGTTGACAAACAGACAAACAGATAAACAGACAAACAGACAAACAGACAGGACAAAACAATATAAGCCCGGGATCTATCGATCCGGGCGCTTAAAAAGTACCCTGCATATTTAAATGTAAATTGGTTGAAATTAGCCCAGTGGTTCTTAAGAAGTTAATGTGAAAAGTTTGCAGATAAACAGATGGACAACAGAAATCAGTACATTTCAGAAAAAAGTATGCTTATAAATAGTTAATCAAGGTGCTTTGGGTAGCAAAATAAAGCTAAACTGGTATATCTAATTCATCCGCAGAGCTTAGTATATTTTAATTTGCACAACCTTTTCAACTCTTATCATAATTATTTTTTAAAATTTATATCACCATGTCTCATTCAAGGGAGAACTAGAGATATGACCAGATGTATATCTGTTGAATATAAAATATGTACATGTATTCTGTGTTTTTTTTTTTAGTAATTTGTTTGTTTGTTGTGACAGCAACTATTATGGCAGCTTTTGGCAAAGGTTGAAGTTTCTCAAATGTAAGTCAATCTCCAAGGTCAAGGTCAAAGGGTCTAAATTGTTGGTATCAAAGGGAAAGTCTTGTCACAAGGAATACATATGTGAAAAAAGGGAGAAATCCCTAGAACTTCCTCACCTGTTCAAAAGTTATTGCCAAGGTTAAAGTTAAATTGGATTCAACTCTAAGGTCTAGGTCAAAAATAATTATACCTGTTGAAAGTTCACAATGATTACACATGTAAGAGCATGAAAGTCCTAGCACCACCTGTTCAAAACTTACGCCAAGTTCAAGGTATTTTTCTTGTAAAATTGGGTCAATCTCCAAGGTCAAGAGATCAAGAGGTCAAAATTGGTGGTACCCATTAAAAGGTTTTGCCTAAAGAAATTTACTTATGAAATATTGAAGCCATTTGTATAGCCCAATCCACTTAAAAAATATGGGCAAGGTTAAAGTTTCCGTGGACAGACAAAAATACATAAACATAGGAAACAAAATATGTATAAATAGTCAATTGAAAAAATTTTCTACTATTATGGAGTCATAAGATCAATTGTCATTTCAGGTACAGGGAGTCAGTGGCTAGGGAGATCAGACCCCCCCCCCCCCCCCCCTGGAATTAGCAGTTATTTAAATAAGACTATATATGTACTGTAGAGAATAAAAATGACTTTGGACATCCTCCCCCTTAGAAAACAGGGACTCCACCATCATTGTTTTTATTATTATTTTTTATTTCCATCTCAGGAAATCTTGGGCTGATTTTTTTGACTGAGGTGTGACACCCCCCCCCCCCTTTCTGAAAAAAAATTCTGGATCTGCGTCTGTTATATACCGAATGTCCGCAACGCGAGATAACTTGACAATGTGAAATTTGTCGACTGTGGCATGCGATGATCTTTGACCATGTTGACCCTTTTTGAACTTCAACCTAACCATTTGCATTTATTTATCTTTATGCAATCTATACTAAATCTTGTACTTACCGAATGTCATTGGTCGTGACAACGAATTCATGAAATATAATCCATATAATCCAATTAAAACACAAATGATTTTAACTGACCACACTGCATCGTCAGCATACATACATGTGCTAAATAATCTCATTCGACAAACCTTTGCTGATTCCGTTGCCAGTATGAATTGGCCGAGGTGTGCCGAGAGGTGATATCTATAAATATGATAATGGGTGACGCAAACCCAATGTGAATGTAGAAAATAAAACTGTTTAGTACAAGAACAAATTTCAAACTATCATAATAAACTAAACTATGTTTTTTTAAAAAATGTGAGAGTGAGAGAGAGAGTGTGTGTGTGTGGGGGGGGGGGGGGGATAGGCATTGACAAATTAATCGGGTTGTATTTTCAATGGGTTTTTTCCCGACCAAATACTAAAATCAGTATGCACATTTTGATAAATTCATCAAAAACGCTTTGTACTAAAATAATATTTTATGTCGTTGAGAAAGTAAATTTAAAGAGTTCCAAATTATGGGAAAATTATTTATTTGAATCTAATTAAGTAATTTACTTCAATCATTAATTAAATTCTGTTATTTCAGACTGGTTATGAATTAAGTATTTTAAAATACATATGTGAGGCTCAGAGTTGATATGGTCATCTGAAAATTTTATGTTCAATTTGACGAATACATGTACGGTGATAATTATAGAATTATTTTGACTTAAATTCTTCCTTGGAAAGTCCAATATGAATGAGTGTATATTTAGAGGCAAACACCATAGTGCGGGTATTACTGTCTCATGACAGCATCTAGTTTATCGAAGTAAATGACGCAAAACAAAAATATAAACATATTATGAAAAAATATCAAAAAAGGGTGGGATAAAAGAAAATAAACGCAGGATAAAAGAAGATAAATGCCAAACGAATGAGTATGAACACTAATACATGTACATATATAACAAGTATAATATAAGACGGCATCTTCGCTAGCATCAAGCAGGCACTGATATGCCTGTCATCAAAAAAGGGTGGGATAAAAGAAAATAAACGCCACAATCCAATTGCAAATTGGATCTTTCCACCCCGTTTATTTTCTTTTATTCCACCCTTTTTTGATGACAAGCATATCAGTGCCTGTTTTATGCTATATCTTATTTTAGGGGGTCATATTGCATAATATGATACCAAAAACTTTTGTATTCTTTGGAGTTTTTTTCTAGTTTTGTCTGACCTTCTCATAATATGTTTATATTTTGATTTGCGTTATTTACTTCAATAAATGACATTTTTTCACTTTCACTGCTGTTGTTATTTTATTTTTAAACCATCAAAAAACTAGCTCAGTTGACTTGGCTTCGGTCTCTCATTAATAACAGAGGAACATAAAAGGACTATAACGAAGGATATGCCAAACTGTGTTTTCTTTTTGAAAAGATCTACCTTATAAGCAAGAAATAACTGTATTCTTAACAAACAATACTTCTTGGCATACATCGAGAGATAAACTCAATTCATAAGTAATTCTTCATTTCATTGCTTTCTAGTCTACCTGTTACAGTCCATCTTGATGCGCAGATAATCAATCCTAGTTTCCATCTGTTATTCAATTTATTTAATATCGGCCTAAAACATTCTTTCAAACGAAAATACAACTGATGTTTGTTTAGAAATACGACACTGTAGACCAAAAAAAAAAAAATTAATCAAAAAACTAAAGGAAAATTCATAAGCGAAATGGAAATATATGAAAAAATATGAAATATGATATTTTCTTAGCTTTTCTTTGTCAGAAAGTCTGCACTCGAACTTTAGAAAATTTATAACTGCCAAATTTTTCAAAAGTCGTAACATCAAAACTTAGGACTTCTCTACCCTTTTGCACCAATCCCTCGCGATAGATTAAAACATAGGCCTTCTAGATCTGATATCATAATAACTGCCTCATCAATAAAAATGTAGGTAGGTAATTTTCCTATCTTCTGACTGGTCACCAACAAAATTACGTCATAAGAAACTCTGATTCTACACACAATTACTCTGAAGTTGATATTGATTGATTGTATATTGTTTATCGCCGAGTCGGCAATTTTTCAGCCATGTCACAAACTCGGTGATTAAAGTGCTCATAATTGTATAGAATACCCTTGTAAATGAATTTACAGCATAGATTGTCTGGACTTTCTTTTGGAAAATGTCAATCTTCCAAGCATTTGATAAGGGACGTCTTTTGTACAATTCTATGTCATTCTTGGACTTTCTGTAAGGCGTATTAAAAGGATGCTTGAGCTCCTCATTGACATCTTTGTACTTTTCGGAGACCAGGTCTTCCATCAACTGATAGGCACTATACATGCCTTTATTAGATAATTTGTTTTCATGCTCCTTTGAGGCAGTGTATATTCAAAATATACATGAGAAGAAGAAAATACTGGCTGTGACCTTCAACTCGACATTTAGATATATTCACGATGCATTATCAAATAACAATAATTACTTTCAATCATGTTCGATATTTCAGTGAACTAAAAATTAAAAATACCACAGATTCTGACACATCTACTACATCTGGACGTTTTTTTGACTAAAGATGAAAAGGGCCAACTAACGACCAAACTATATGACAAGCGAGATAAGTCAACTCTTACATCGTTAACTTCCCTTACTTATGTAGTTATATTCTGCTATCACCTTTATATGGTTTGTACATCTCGCTGTATTCAATACTCAAGAACCTGTTCCGAGTACGTGATCTGTTTTTAAAAAGAAGCAGCCTACAAAATGATAAGTTGATGTTACAGGGATTTCAACAGTTTCCTTTAAAGCCAGCATTTAGTTAAATCTATGGTCGTTAAAATGAACTTGTAGGTAAATAAAACCTATAATTTAGTCGTATTTGTTCTGACTTGTTTCATACCAATTGTTAGATCTCTGCTTTTATACTGAATTTGACAACGGAATTTCTGTCAACCTGATTAGCTTGTAATTCAATACTTTATGGTTGGCAGTTTTCAGTACTGTGCAGTTAAAAGAGGATTTAATCATACAAAATTGTTCCATTCTAAATCATAAAATTTAGGCCTTTCAACTAATTTTTCAAGTTGCACATATGGTAAAAAACATTTCATAAATAGATTGATAGGTACATGAAATAATAAAAAAAGATAAAGATTTACGCATACGTTTGATAAGATAATAAAAGTTAAATTATGATAATTCATTTGTACGAGATTGTGTTTTACACGTTTTAAGGAAAGGTTAATCAAATGTGAAAAATAACCAATTAAGTGACGATTTATAAGTTCTCGTTTAGAGAAATGTCATATGATACATGTCATTGAATTAAGAACTTCAATGTACTCTACATGGGAAGCTTCCATATATATTGACATGACTTAATATAGTTCAGTTGTTTTTGGCAAGAAGACTTAAAGATTTTTCTGCTGTATTCCTATGTAAATCTTTGATCCCTTTTTTCTGTCCAAAGCTACAACCAGGGTCAAGATTCGATTGCACTTCAATATTCATGATGATTCTACATTAATATGACTGATTATGAATGAGACCTTCTCCAGAAGAAGATTTTTTTTTAAAAAAATTCCTATACATGAAGATAATTTCCATCTCCTGTTGTGACTCTACCCTCTCCCAAGGGGGTCATAACTTAAACCACCCTTCTCCACGGATTGTTTCTTTGTGTCTGCTATCAACAAAGTAACGATTCAAATTTCTAGCTTTCATTACGGTCAGTAAAAAAATTTACGCCACAATTCGATCAGCGAGGAACAGAAATTCCCATTCCCGAACTTTTTATTAATCAAATCTATCATTTTACAATACCAATACAAAGTACAAAGTCACCTCGCACTCTCAATTACCAATATCAACTGGACCATCGCTGGACAATACGTATGAATGAACAACGAAAAGCCTTTTTTACACTGGGTATCTGTAAAAAGTGCTACTT